CCCTTGGAGCATCAAGTATTTCCGGAATAGATTTTCCAAACAAATCGGATAGTTCGAAGTTCAATGGAGTAGAATAAGTAACGGAGAATTAGATCACGATGGCGAACTATGTATCTATGTTGTGTATGAGCTATAACTATGTAAACACGTCGATTTCGCATACGTCCGTTGTTTCTCCCTTGTGCCAACTTCCTCCGAACTGCCTGCATCCTTCACGATGAACCACGTTGCACATCCCTCTCGCACGGAAACGTCTTTCTACCGGAATAAAATGACCCTCGATCATAGCGCATCCCACCCTTCCTGGTCCTTTCCATTGATCGCAGTTTCCTATTTCTCATTCTATGAGGCGGCAATCCCTTCTTCGTTCCCATACCAGTCTATGAATTGACAAGAACTTTTGAAACGACTTAGTCGGGAACAGCCAATTCCCGGCGCGCGAAACTCGAAATTGTATCGTGTACTTCAGACGAAAGCATCTCTCTCGTATCTCGTCGGACCAACCGAACGACTCGATTGAACGAGGAATCGCGAGAATCGAGAGGAATCGCAAAAGACGTACGACAGAGGAAGGGAATAAGAAACGAGATTCACTTCGAGTCAATTTGTTTTCCTTAAGGGCAATATATCTTTCGCGAAATAGCTGGCCAATCATCCGTTTCGTTGATCACGAATACGAGCGTGATTTATTGCATACCAAGCGTAACGTAAATTGGAGCACGCTAGATGCAGATAAGGGCAAACGATGGTGCATGCATTGCTCGCACCTGATACAGAAACGGTATTGTACTGGCAACAATACCCTTCTCCGGAACAACGTAAGGATTTCTGATAACGGCGGCCACCAACGGAAAATGTATTTTACTCACTGCTGCCAACAGATTCCAAGTCCTCGCAGCAAGAGACGTTTCACCGTGGAATGCTGGACCTCTCGTGGTTTGACCCATCTTTCGCGTGGAACGTACTTGCATCGCAAACGTACACCTTCAACGTGTTCTTGAATAATTTTTTTATGATATTCACGAGCGAAGATGTGTTCTTTTTAGACCGTGCTAAAAAAAATGAGCAGTCAGAATACCACCAGTAGGTACACACATACACATATGTCACATTATTAAGTTTATATTAAATTTTAAGCGTGTTACTGAGTTGTGTCAAGTCATTTAAATCACATATCACCATACACCGTTACACCATCCTTGCATTAATTGCAGCAAACTTCAAGAGAACATTTAGGACGACGACCGGTGGTGATCGGTTCATTATTATCTATTCATCGATGTAATTTGTTGAACGTGACTTTTCGCAATCTCATTTCCAAATTAACCTCCGTTAGATTTCGCCGTGCACTCGGGTGCTCGCGTGGCTCGAGTCGAAACTTTTCAACAGGCACGATCGATCTTCGTCGACCGTGTTCGGGCCGCGACGAAACTTCGTGAATGAGTGAAAAAACCGTAGAACAAAAATGAAAAACCCTCGGGGTGGAGAACAGACGAGTTCGATGCTTGAAATTACACGTCCCTTGTAACACAGCGTCGTAGAAGGAAATTGAAAAATTTAAGTAGTTCAGAGAAGTTTCAACCTATCGCGATCAACGAAAATTGAATTCCGAAATCATGGCGGGTGTCTTCCTGGCCTATCGAACGTCCAAACGGAAGTGACCGAACGAAAACAAGACTATACATACATCATATGTATATAGGTGAAGAATAGAACGAAGGACGAGACTGGATAACAGTGGTAGTATACGGGCAGGTAGCGCGTCATCGTAAAAGAAGGAGACAGGGAATAAAGGCTGGCCGAAGATCCAAGAAAGAACGGACGGACACTCGAGCTTTGGCTGACGTCGCTTTACGTGCCGGTATAATGGCTCTTGTCTTCGCCGCAGTTCCGAGTTCTATTCAAGCTTCGGGCGACTCACCAACCACTGTGCAACAGTGACGCGATTCTTAAATCTACCTTAAGCAGCCCGGTTTCGTTTTCCGTCGTTCCCGTTCCCTCGCAACACCTACCTATTGCGCGAGTTTTCAATTTCTCTGTCGCCGTCGCGGTTGACACGGCCATGGCGTCTGTCCTTGCGAGCAAACGCACCAAGAACGGTGTGCCAGCCATGTTTTCTCGAACACCGTATTAATCGACTTCACCGTTGCTGGTACACGCATCGAGGAAATAAAGGCAAAGGAAGATTAATGGCCGAGACCAGGCGGCTGGTCGAGTATTCGCGCCCGGATCGCTTTTGTCCCGCGGTAACTACTCTGTTTGTGCTCGTTAAAGCTATTTGCTAGTTCGCAAGTAAACAATAGGGAATCGCGTTATGGTTACGACAATATGATGTAAATCTGAAACTACAACGTCATCGCCTATCGGCATTGTCGGCAGATTATCGAATTCGATCACTTTCGAAGTGTTTCGAGCTGGATCGAACTAAATTTACATGCCACGCGACTAGATTTAGACGCGCTTACAACCGTCGTAACGCTCCTGAAATTCTCCGGGAATTACGTTCGGTGACTATTCCGACAGAAGACGATCGGGAGAACGGCAATCGATAATCCACACTCCGTGTAATTCTCCGTGTGTTTCCGGTAGTCTTTGGTATAGCTTAATTAGGGTATTCTCACGATGTTCATTCACCGTTTGATCTGCTTACGTGTACGTATCACTACTCGTATGAGTAGTACGTGCCCGCCTGGGGGTTCCGACAATCCGATCGCTGGTATTCACCCGTTCGTTTCGCTTTCCACATTTCTTCTTTACTTCCCGTACAGCCCTCGTCGACTAGCGATACAAATTGAATCGGTTGTTCGTTCGTTCGGTATTTCCTAATGAGATCCTCGGATTGCCAGCGAGTCGTAAACCGGATCTTCGACGTGCTGGCCTATAAATGATATTTCTTGCGTCGAGCTTTGACGTCAGTCTGAAAAATTCAGTCTGGACGAACAGGGCACCGATGCGCGGCCGTTTTCTTGCGCGGAAAGAAAGATGCGGAACCGGTGGGTGTATGTACGATACGCTCGTGGAAACTCGATAAATAGAAGGTCTCGTATAGACGGTGCTGTTGCTGTTACGCTCACGGCCGTGGATTATTTACAAGAGGGATGAGAGACTTTACTCCGTCGGAACGATCTTGGACGAGAAGTTGCTTTCCATTATTCAGCAACGGGTGACCCTCCGTCCCTTCGAAGCGCGGAATTCTTCAACGACTGGTCGCTTAATTCACGCGTTTCGAGAAACATTTATCATATGGATACGACGGGAAAACCGGCGTTGAAAGGCAATTCGCGATCGGACAAGAACTGATCGTTTTTCAAGATCACGTTTATTCGAATTGTTACCGAAGACGTCGGGGATTTTACTATGCCATTACAGCACCGAATGACTGAGAGTCTTCTCAGATTCGTCAAGTATATATCACTGTGCAAAGATAAATTCGACATACATCTCTATAATTCTAATCTTCTCGGAATCGTAGCTACGAAGAGGGTGGAAATGTTTCCAAGAAATTATAATCTACCAAAAATGTAGAATTTACAGGACCTGTTCGAAACGCTATGCTTGTTGTAATCGTCAATGAAATGCACACGAATCAAATGATTTTCGTATTTTTAATCACTATTTTCCTCGTGTTTTTAATGTTATGCAAATTGCCGCGATAATGCTTGGTGCCTCCATCTGTCGTTGACCGCGGCAAGCAGCTGAACTACTCCCTCCGCAGTAGAAAAGTCCACTATGGTCGGACGCGAGTAGATTCGCCCCGTACCCGGTCGGACAGTTACCGGGCCTGCATGTACCTACATGTGTAAATACATACTGTACGATATGTATAGAATATATCCATATATAAGATATGTCGCATCCTGCATCTACTGATTCCTACTACTGTGCCGCGCATGCGGTCGTACATATGTAAAAGTAGAACATTGTGGTAGAAAGTTCTACGCTTTTGTAGTATTTTTAATAAATTTTACATTTAATTACTGAATACAGCGGAATCGTTGGTATATATTATCGCTGTTCTCGTATACAGAAGGACAGTTTCACGGTTTTGATTACGTAATCAGAGGCAACCGAGAAATCCAGGGCATTCGAGTGGAGAGATTTAAAGCTGAAGAACAATCCTTTTCATTTTCAGATTCATTTCGTTTCGGCTAATGCATTTTCATCGGGGAAAAGCGGATCCCCTCGCCGTCCCCCGGGCGTAACGCGGTACCCTCTTTCGAGACATCAAAGCATCCGTGGCTTTATCCGGTCTCCTTTGTGTTTTTTCTCTGTTCGACCATCGTTGTTTGCGATGCACAATCAAGCGGCAATATCATCGGCGTCGGTGCACAATCCTCGTTTCTGTCGACCGACTTAGCCGCCGGAGTTCGCGCAAGCGTCTTCCGTTTCGGCTCGGCGACTACGTGCCGAGGGAAAGGGGAGCCCCAGTAAATCAATACGTATATGTCCGCCAGTAACCGGCCAGTAGGAGCTCATCCTTCGCGTGAAACGTGTCGAAAATTAAACGAGCACCGAAATTTCCCAATATCGTACGTTCGCGATTCCGTTGAACTGTTCCGCTGCCCGGGTGACGCGCTTCTATCCGTTCGATAAAGGAGAGACACGAACGAGCATTCGTGGTTCTCTGTTCTCTGTTGCACAGGAACACCGAGGATATCGCCCCAAGTTGCGATCTGCCAGCTCTTAGAGGTAACTGACCCTGTGCAACAGCGCGAACGTTCAGCGCTGGATCAAACAACCACTTCGGGGGACCGGTGACCTCGGCACGAACGTCGATCAGCAAGCTCCTCCTTCGAGACATCGTCGCCCGCCCGTGTCCGCCCGCCCGCTCGGCCTGTTTCGTCGATGTTATCGCGCAGATACCCGAAAGCGTAAGCCCTTCGAGAAGCACGGAACAAGGTAGAAACGCGTTCGAGTGCTGTTGGAACATCCGGTGGCCGCGGATCAACGAGAAATAACCGCGAGAAGAAACATTGCTGTCCGTTCGAAGGGGTGTCGAGTAGCATCCCGCTATCACGATCGAGCTACCAGGCTCTCGTACGGCCGTCAGGCTATTTGGACGTTTGGTGGGAGTCCGTGATTGCTCGTTCCGCACGGATTTCCCGAAACACCCCCAAAACGGCAACCCGTCGTCGTCGTGGTGCTGCCGGGGCCCCGCCGTTAGCCGGGACAGATCGCGAGAAGGGAGCTTGGCAGAATCGGTCGCGCGATCGGCCAGAGGATCGGCCTCCTCGTGCGCGACCGGCTCCACCGCCACCACCTACGCCGCTTACTGGCGGCCCAGTGAAATGGAGGAGAAGTCCTCGGCTCGGTTCTCCGAGTATCTGTTCGCCAAGATGGATGGGCAGGACGTCTCGGCCTCTCAGGGTCCCCGTAAGGTGACCGCCGACACCAGAAAGTTCATGCGAGAGAACCTTCTTCTCGTGGTCACCCTCTCCGGCGTGTTGTTCGGCATGATACTTGGTGAGTACCGAAAACTTAGTCTCAAACCTGAAATCTTAAATCTTCGATCTCCAATCCGGTCGAATACCTATAGCAATAACAGAAAGCTCACGGCTTTCGTATTCGTTCCTCCGAAAAAAAAGAAAAAAAAAGAAACATGTGCTTCGCGTGTATCCACGGGAAACTAACCACGAGATACCTAGTGTCGAACGAGTACACGATACGCCGATATGTCAAGTAAATATCAATTGCGTGCGCATTCATCTCGAACGGAGGGGAGCGCGAGTGTCTTCGTGGTATACCCACCGAACGAACTCGCAAACTTTCCCGAGCTTCGCGTTTCCGGAATGGTGGCCGCCCTTCCCCTTGTAAATAGGGCAAAAAGATTGTATAGGTAGCTTAAAGGCGCGGTTACAAGCTCGAGGTAATGGTCGAAGCGTGCCAAAAGAAAGCTGCACATTCATCCGTTACAAGAAGCATGCCAAGGTCGAGTTCATCCGATGCGAACCGATTTTACGTCTGCCGACAATGGTACGGTCGAATCATCGATTACGAGTGACAAATAAGAACCGTTTGGTCGTTTCACGTTTCTTGACCGAGCCGAACGCCGTCTATTGTGTATTGCGTCACGTGCGCGTGTACAGGACTGGCGTTAATAACGATTGGTTATGCGCGCTGCTTAACGAACGGGGCTTCGTAATCGTTCGATCTATACCTACATACCTATTCTTCGAATATCGTTTCGGAATTTCGTAAGAAGCCGGTGGCTCGAGAACTTTAGCCGACAGAAGAAACAAGCCTTTCCTGTCGCTCGCGTAATAGGTCGCGGACGAGCCGATTCGAAATTCACATTAGTTACATAAAAGCTAATCGCGTTATCGCGTCGAAAGGTGCCAATCACCGACGAGAGGTTTCTTTCAAAAGACTCGTCTAATTAATTTGCCCCCTCGTGGCCGAAGGACCAACCTTGAACGAGCCACTCGTGCACTCGACTCGCCCTATCCTTTTCTTTATCCGTTTAATCGTCTGCTTAATGTCAGGGTGTGTGTGGAGACTACGAAGCAGCTCTGAATCCGAAAATGCAACTTCTATCGGAAACGCGTCAGGCGCGGACGTTCGCAATCGCGTCGAATGACGTGCACAAATCCACAACAGGATTCCTTCTTTTTGCGCGTCAATTATATAGGAGTTTCGATGAAAAGCTCTCGTCTACTTTGCACGCGCGTATCGATAAAGCAATTTGTTACATAACATGCCGTTTCTATAGCTAAATGGCGCTATTCATTCCCGGGGAGATTTCATTGAAAATATCGGGCCTTGCTATGATACTACTCCAAGGTAGCTTTACTCGCCTACGATTTCGCCACGTATTATTTCGATTATATCTCCGCGTTTATTATACAATACTATACAACAACGCGACGTGTCCACGAAGGAGCTGGAGCGGCTGTAACCTCGTTACTCTTTACAGGATTCGGTCTGCGACCCCTGGGCCTCGGCGATGACGCAGTTATGTTAATCAGTTATCCTGGAGAGCTCTTCATGAGGCTGTTGAAGTTAATGATCTTGCCGCTGGTGATCGCCAGCCTTATATCTGGTAATATTCTGAAATTTACGATGTATATATATATATATATCTATCTATGTGCTCGGTGAATACGAAATATCTCACGTTTCTTATTTCGTGATATAAAATAACGACAGGAATGTTTTCAGGTTCAGCGAGCTTGAACGCAAGAATGAACGGAATGATCGCCGTACGCACGCTGGTCTACTTTATACTCACCTCCTTGTTGAACGCTGTCCTCGGCGTTATCCTCGTTCTCCTTATTCACCCGGGTAATCCTGGCATTCGAAGATCGATGGCAACCTCGCACAACGGACGAGCCGTCAACATCCTTGACAGCCTTCTGGATTTGGGAAGGTAGTTTTCTTATCTTCCGCCGGGACCGCTCCTCGTTGGTTATCGATCGGAATCGTTATTTTCGTTCGTTTGCGTGGTCACGCATGGCAACCGCCTTCTGGAATTTTTCCATGATAAAAATGGAGTTCCTTACCCCGTTGTCGGAGCAACGCTCGACTCGTTCTACTAATCCCTGTGCTAACACGGATATCGTGAGAATTTTCACGGTAACCTTGCTCGTTGTTGGAACAGTATCATATCGATTATAAACGTTCGTCTTATCTAAACACAGCGGTAAACCCAATGCCGAGCGATAACATCGTTTAATAGTTTTCTGTTCGCCGTGCCGTTTTAAATAACCAATCGATCCTATGCCCCTAAGTCGCGTCACGTCGGGGCGTACTTCCCTGTCTGGCAATGAGCTCGGCAATACGTTCTGGAAAGAATAGGGGTATCTCGATGAGGATTAAGGTCGCGTAGCTTCACGATCGGTGAACTTTCCTAAGCCGTCGCAACCATCGAGGATGATACCCAACGCGCTGAAAATAGAAGTATGCATATCGATCGTGGGTACTTTAGTCGCAACGGGCAGAACAACTCCGTGTAAAACATACGCTTGTACGCGCGTGTCGTTCACTAATACAATTGCGCGTTGTATGGAGAAACGATTCTGTGAAAGCCGATAATCGTAGGTGTCGAGTACCTATTCGGGGTACTTATAAAAAATATACGCCGTATCTGAATCGAACTTTCTCGAACGTTACAGGAACATGTTCCCGGACAATATATTCCAGGCAGCGTTCCAGCAGGTGAATTTTTTTTGTCTTTCAACGGTCATACGTCCCTCGGTTTCGTCTAACATTTTCGATTGTTCCCGACAGGCACACACGGTGTACGTTCCAAAGACTCAACCGTTTCGGAACCTGACCGACACCATGTCCACGGAGGTCCTGGGAGATGTGGAGCTGACGAGAGTGACTCAGTACAGGAGTGGGACGAACACGTTGGGCATAGTTTTCTTCTGTTTGGTCTTTGGAACGTTCTTAGGTACGCTCGGCGAAAAGGGCCAGATCGTGATCGACTTCTTCAAGGCTGTTTTCGAAGTCATCATGCGAATGGTGTCGACCGTGATGTGGTACGTGCAAAACTTTTATTCCAGAGTAAAGACTTTCACGAAGCAAAAAAAAAAAAAAAAAACAAAGAAAGTAAAATGAAAAAAATACCAATGGAAAAGTATCGTTTGACTCGTAGGATGACTCCAGTGGGCATCACCTCCGTAATTGCCGGGAAAATACTGGGCGTGACCGATCTGGCGTTGGTGATGTCGCAGCTCGCTTGGTTCATCGTCACGATCGTGATCGGTGTCTTTTTCTATCAGCTGGTGATCATGCAGCTGATCTACCTCGCCATCGTGAGAAAGAATCCTTTTAAATTCTATGCCGGCCTCGCCCAGGGTACCCTCACCGCCTTCGCCATGGCATCAACGTGAGTCGTCGATCTTCGAACTCAGCCCGACCTTCAGAGTACCCATAATAATCGGCTGCCTTTACATGGCCTCGGTCGTCATCGTCATCTATTTTCCGACCCATTTTAGTTTCGTCACACGCATTCGCTTCGATCCTACCCGCGAGATTCCCTTCGGTCCCACCTCCTTTTCTTTCGTTTTCGGACGTGTCCTTTTCGATTATCAGTTGTTGAAAAAAAAAAAAAAAACAAGAATTACAAATAAACGAAACAAGACGATAACGCGTTCGAGACACGAAAACCACCAGGCCGGGAGCATACGATTTTCGTATCGATTGATAGAGACAATATGTTTCAGCTAGCCGAGAGGAGGCTTTGCGAGGCCGTGGTCCCGTACTATATTCCATTCCAAACAGCTCCGGTTTTAAGCAGCGTTTCACAACGTCGCTCTACGGAGACGTTGTCGAACGTTGACGGAGCCGTTCATTCTTCCCGTCCAAATTTTGATCCCTCGTCAGGGTCATTACGTTTCTTTAATATTCTCGCGTTTCTCATGGGGAGTTCTCGTCATGACCAATGAGAAAGAGAGATAAAGAAAGAAAGAAAGAGAGAGAGAGAGAGAGAAAGGGAGAGAGGTATGCAGTTCTGGGTGGCACTTAGGATGCGGATACTCCCGGTTGTCGGTGATCGTCCACGAACTTTCGGTGAAGCTTGGCATCGATCCGTCGTTAATTTACCAACGTCCGTTTTAAGAAAAGCACCGAAATTTCGAGGCGCGTGCATTCGAAGGAATGAAAAGTGGCGAGAGATTTGGAAGGACACGCAATGATACACAAGTGCATGGGAACGGTGTTCGTGTCTCTTGAGCCGGAAATCAGCTGACTCCGTGTCACCTGGACTGATTCGCGGCGCGGAAGCCTTCGAGGGCTTCCATTATCCGAATCTTCGTGCCTTTCGCCGTCGCGCGGGCAGAAGTGAGAGGCCGAAGAAGAAGATACCGGCAAAGGAGGCTTCCGCGCTAACCATGTTATTATGTAAGCATCTTTTCAAGAAATCGAGGAAAACTGAAAAAAATATTGCTTGCTCGCGTCGAGCCCGCTCTTCTAGGTCTGACGGCGACGCCCATCACTGGCCAGAACTGCTGAACTACGATCGTTTTCTATCTTTGATTATTCATTCTCTTGCGGATCACGCGCAGCAACGATCATTTTTTCAGTTTATCCGACAACGTTTATCGTACGTCCAATATCCATTTTCCTTTACTCTCTCCTCGACGATTCCCTAGACTTTCGATCTTCTGAACGTGTTCCCATTTTCCTATTTTTTTCCCTGTCCACGTTGTCACGTTGTCACGTTGTCACTTTGTCACGTTGCTCGTCCTTCGCGTCCAAACCTTTCGATGCATCGTGGGACAGAGAAGCATTCGTACATGAAAAGATCGGAATTATTCCATTCCACGTTGAATGCCACGCGTCGAAACCTTTTCCGTCCCATCGTCGCGGTGCTCAAGATCGTTCTAACCGACCTGCAACGCCAATGTCTAATTCAACTTGTTTTCTATGTGGATTAACTTTTTCCAGAAGAGAGCGTACACAACTATGCGTACACTGTGACTGAGAGAAAGACACAGCTCTCAGTGTATCTGAACAGAGACTGTATGAATATCATGATGATGTATTAGAGCACGCGCTGCACGCGGCCTTTTGCAGGTGGTTCAGAGAGAGGTCGAGGGTGGCCTTGGTAAGTAATCGATGGCCGCAACATGAAGGTACATACGCTTGTCTGTTACAGATTTAGGTTCACTCGGGAGATGAAACGGACGATCACCTTCTTCCCGGCGTCGTTTCCGATTAATCCTGGTTGATTTTCAGCTCGCCTCGCGGTCATTCTGGTTAATTATTTCATTTCTCGTAACGCCTTTCCGTCGGTGAACACGCTCTATCGGTCGACTTACGTACAACGCGTCGTCCCATTATTCTCTTCTTTGACTCGTGTGCTTGTCCCATTCGCATCGCATTGCCATTAAAAAGCGTGTACGACAGCGATGAATCTTTTGTGGAAAAATTTGTCGAACGATCTTTCGCCAGAATGACCCTCCTCCTCATGGACACCGGCAAAGCAGCACGCGGGAAATAACCTTGCTATCCATATAGAAACGCGACATGCACTATCTTTACTAATGCAGCTTTGTACAGGGCTGCCGCGCTTCCTGTCACGTTCCGCCTGATGACGGACAAACTCAGAGTCGATCCCCGAGTCACCAGATTCGTTCTACCGATCGGGTGCAACATTAACATGGACGGGACGGCTCTGTTCGTCGCGGTTGCAAGTATATTCATCGCGCAGATGCATGGCATCGCTTTGGGCTTCGGCGAAATCGTAACCGTAATGTAAGCAGCTGTCCGCCAACTCTAATGGCTTCTTGCCTAATTCTCATTAGCCTAATGTACCTACGAATGCGATGTAAATCTATCGGATCGGCCGAGCTAACTAAGACTCTTTTCTTTTCGAAGCTTAACGTCGACCGCCGCTTCCGTGTCGTCGGCTTCGGTGCCAAGCGCCGCCCTCGTACTTTTGCTGGTCGTTTTGAGCGCCATCGACGCTCCGGTATATAATGTCTCGTTGCTGTTTACCATCGATTGGTTCGTGTAAGTATCGTCTTTCCTACCCTCTGTTTTCCTTCTATTCGTGTAATCCGAAATTTTCACGCGTCCAGGGATCGCATACGAACCACAAACAACATGCTGGGCGATTGTTACGCTGCTGCCGTGGTCGAGCAATTATCGAAGAAAGAATTGATGGCTTTGGACGCGGCAGCCTATCAGGTACGGTATCTTCGTTTCGTATCGAATCGACGCAAGCTGGAAACGCGCGGGGACCAATCTGCCGATTGTGTTTCAGTCGGAGACCGTTCTACCGACGACGATCGCGAACGGATGCATTTCCGCCAATAGAGTACCTGATCCTGACACCATCGTAGTTGAGATGCAGGACGATTCGAGGATAGCCGGCATCGCCAAGTAAACAAGCTTGTTGGTAGGGCTAGGCTATCACTTTGTACGATCACGAACGATCGCGTGCATTCATCCTGGTTTTCGCCTTGTGTCTTTGATTCCGCTTCGATATGCTCGACGGGACTGATTAACTTACACATTGCGAACATAACGTGTTCGATTCGTTGACATTTATAAACGACGATTCATGGCAGGCTTCTTTCGTCGTGCACGAGTTACTCTCATTTCCGTGTTTTCGCGAATCATTTCTAAGGATCCGGCCCGTACCGACGCGGTCGTTACATCTTGAAAATCAATGATCCGCGTCAATTATATCGATCATCGGAGGAGGAAGCCGAGGAGCCTGCAGTACGCTCGTGGTAAACGTAATCGCGTCCGCCCACAAAACTTGTCTCTCTCGTCCGCTCAGACACACGCATACACTCTCCTTTTTTTTTATAAACCGTCCCGTAATTATTAAGCGTATTATCCCACTCGCGATTTACGGCGGCCATTCGTACAGTGAAAATCGTGCCAGTTTGACCTAGAAGCCGTAGATCAGCAGACCGCGCGTAACTTGTAAATAACCAATCAATCGCAAATGTAACGTACCGTGGTCGAATGATTCACACGCAAGAAGCAGAACGCGCTTTCGTACCGGCATTATGCAAATTGTTGCGCAATGACCTTAGGGGTGAACGCCACGATAAATCGAGCGTGGCATCGTAGAAAAGCGAGCGTATGTATTTAATGCCGGGAGACTAATACCTTCGCTCCTCGAGGATCGTTTGTTTACACGCTACGGTCCAGCGAGCGAGGCTGCGTTCTTTCGTTGACTTTGCCAACGCAACGAAGTGTTAACTTCGCAACGGTGGTTAAGCAAGCGGCGAATTCGTACGAATTCATAGAATGTCGCACACAGGTATCGCAGGTCAGACTCGAATCAAGTTGTCGTTCGTGTGTCAAAGTTTGTTGGAATCATTTGTTTTTTTTTTTCTTATCACCGTACCAGGCGTTCATCACATCGATCATAGACATTCACGAGTATACCTATATGTACATACGTAACTTTGTCGATCGTCATCCTCGAAAGCTCATCAACCGCTTCTTAATGTGCCGCTCCGAATCGACGTTGACTTCAATGGCGCCTCGTTCAACGTTATTGTTTCGTTTCAGCATCAGCGTGTTGCAGATGCCCAGGAGCGTGACGGAGGAGACAGTTTGACCACTGATTCATCCCGAGTTTAGCTCGAAACGCGTCCCGTGCATATCGTTAACGAACGCACACTGTCTTCTCGGGAAAGTTATAAAAGAACGATGCGTTTCAACGAGGATCGAAAAGAGGACACGTCGGGCACCCGATCCGTCTGTTCAACGCGTCATATTTTGCCGTTCCGTCGATGCCACGGAACTTCGTGAATCGCGAGTGCTCGTAAGGAACAATTCGAACGCAAGTTTCGCCGTGAAGATCGTTCGTTTCCGAAATGGGTAACGCGTTTAACGGTATATCAAAAACAAAGTCAATATCAAGGAGTGCGCAACACGAGACTACTTTAGGAATATAGCAATAACGAAACTGTTCCAATGCTTCTGTAGTGGCATCGTCGAGGGGAATGCAAACCGAGATATCGCCGATTCAGTTGCGCTCCTGAATAGTAACGATCGTTTCTGTTGATCGGTCGCGCGAGCAGCGTCGAATGTGGTGCCTTATTTTAACGCGGTGTTCACCGGCCGCACTGAAACTGGACAGAACAATTCTTTTCGTTTTCCGGACATACGGAAACGTTAGCTCATTGGCTGAACAAACACATTTTTGGTGATCGATCGTGTTCTACTGCCACAAGACTTTTCCACCGATACGTAAACACTCGACTGTTTCAAGTACCTTTCACGATTGTCAGACAATGAGTAAAACGTTGCACGGCGCCACGATGACTTTGCTACTTTCGATCCGGCTCGTTCCTAACACTGGATCATGATCGATGATGCGAGAACATGTCCCGTACTGTTGGTAAACATTTTTCTTCCCTTTTTTTTTTTTTTTTTTGTTTCGTGTAAACACACCGTAGACATAGTAATGTCGCGACGCAAACCGATTAACGCGAGCCACGACATTAGGAGCGAAGCGAATAGTCATCGGTTAGGTTCGACGCGTGTAATGTCTTTGAACATTGCTGCAAACCTAGGCGAAACGTTGGAAACAAGATTGTAGGTTTCGTTAGAATCTTGACTATTATACTGAATTTAACTTTCGGACCATTGACGACTCTACATTATACAGACTGGTGCACGGAAACCTGCGCGGTGGTGTGCACCGTGTCCGCGATTCTGCCTCTGTGCACCGTCACGATTAGTGTTCCCCTTTTAGTATTGTATAATTGGAACATCGAGACGCTGGTTCTCCGTTTCATAGCGTAGATCCCAGAAACGAACGAAAGAGAAGATCACATCTAGCGCTCTTTGACGGGCAGCCTCAAGACTGGACATGCCATTTGAATATGTCGTTTTAATAAATACCACGTTTAACGTTCTAGGAGAAATTACGAGAAGAATCCACTAACTAATTATAGACACTAGATATGTAGGTCGATACGTGTTCCATCGTAGAGACTGTTTAAATGTACAAATTAACTGGATAAATAGTGCTTCGTAGTGTGTGTCGTTTAACCCGAATGATTCCTGGCGATAATTTACAAGCCCGAGCGTTGTTTCGTTTGAAGAATACATACTCTGCTTTCTTCTTTGGTTCTCCCGTTGTTACGTTGGGTTCTAACAGAATCGTTCGCATCGATGTTTATCCGAGCTACTACACACCTCTGCGCGATACCGACCTTGTGTTACCGTCGAACGGTGAATGGGAAAGTGCTTTGTTTATAGCCTAGAGAGCAGGAGCGGTTAATAGAGAAAGAATTTATCGAATTACTTCAAAGACTACGTGTGAATATACTTATAAGGCTCAACGTGTTGTATAACAAGATGCAGGTTTATACGGGACCACGTTGTTCTTTCTTCCCTCCATCCACTCCCACGTCCCTTCCTCACAATCGTTCTTCGTCCCGTATCCCAAATCGATAACGTCGTAATACGGATCGCAAAGGTTTGCCAAGAAACGAGAATCATGGTTTCCTAAAAAATTCATTTATTTAAGATCCACCATCGCGCGGATCCTTGGCTCACAGGAGAGTCTTTGTACAAAGAGTTTTGTTCTTTTTATTTTTATACAAAATATGACATATCTATTCGCTAGTATTTATGCGTATTCACGTGGCTGGGCGTTTCGTCTGCCCGTGTTACATCGAGATTTTTACGGGGCAAACGAAAACGCGATGTAAAAAAAAAAAAAAAAATAGAAAATTAGACGAGAGGTTAAGGAGCGTGTCCGGATCCACGCTGCCACGAATACCAGAATGATCAGTCCGCTCGTGGCGACGCATTTACGACGCGATGACACACCGCCATGCCCGAGAAAACGTTTCACCGGGCGGTTGACCTAAAAAACGATTACATCACACTGTACATCCGCGTGTTTCGACCGGCATGGCGTGAACATCGAAATCGTTCGCGTGTAAGGGCAGTCTATCGTTTTGATTATAAGGCGAAATATCGTTAATCATTCTTTTCGTCCGTTCGTTGGAGTATTATGTACACGGTTACTTAACGGTTAAGCGCTCGCAGCTCGCGCCTCCTATTTACAGGGATTCGAGTATTTTTTCAGCTATTGATCGGCCGACGCGACGATCGAAACGGCAAGTAACAGTCGTATCGTACAAAAAAGGAAGAGAGATAATATCAACATACAGGAATAGTCGTGCAATCGCCTCATTTTCGTCGTCGATACAGGTATAGTGAGTAGGTACATACAATCCACGCGTCGAATTCCTCGTACAGCGCGATAAGACGAAATTATCTACAATAATTAATGCGCGCGAAAAGGAGGCGTTTGCTTATCACGAGGGGAATAGAAAATTTGCACCTTGGCGCCTCCGATGTTCAGTCATCGAAGGTCAGTCAGCTTACAGTCTCTAATTTATACACACCGCGCGCACTTAAATCACACGATCGGTTCGAATTTACTCAATCCGTTTCTGAACCGTCGAACAGTGCGATCCCGATTTCGAGGTATCACGCGGCTAATACTAATACGTGACCGCGACATTTATTTCGAAAGATCGTTAGATCCGGAGCTCGGCGTCGGTAACCGGAATTCCCCTATTGGCACTCTGACTGGACCTTTGCGTGGCGGGCGGCACCAAAGGACTGATGCTGGGACTTCGTGTCGCGAGGGGTGACAGGGACGGGGAGAAACTCGGACTGAGGGCCGCCGAGGGAAAGGTGGAAGCATCGTGACTGATCGGGGACCTCGGGAGGATGCCTCTGGCTAACGCGGGGGCCGCCAACGATCTGGGAGCAACGGAAGTAAGCAACGGCGGGGGAGGGGCTTTATGTACAGACTTGGTTTTCCCGCTGCTTCCCGAGTTTCCGCTTTGAACGCTGGCAGCGTCGTCCTTCAACCTGGCGATTTCGCTGAACACGTGAGCGAGGGGTTGATAGTGCGGACCCCAGTCGAGGAGATAGTCCCAATTGTACGATCCTGTGAGTTCCTCCTCGCTGTGCACGATCGAACTCAGAGAACCGTTCATGGACGGGCCACCGGGTACCTCCAAGCCCGACATTGGTCTACCGGATTCGCCTATTTTTCCGTAAATCAACGTGGCGATGTCGGCCTCGGTGGCAGCCTCGTCCTCGAACAGGTGCAAGCTGTCGAGGGGCAGCGCTTCCGGTGGTCTTCTAGGTGTGCCGGCCGGGGGATCGACGATACCTAACCTGGCTAAGTATTCCTGAGTATTGTGCACCGACAGATCGCTCGCAGAGTCACCGGTCTGTTGTCCCTCGTTGATCATCCGAATCTCTTCGTCCTCTCCGTCGTCTTCGGCCGAACCTCTGCCCGACGATCCGGACTGATCGCTACCTGACAATTCCGAGGTGGTCTGCTGTTGTCCGGATTGGCCGGAAGTACCGTACGGTGGTATCTCGTCGTATTTGGGTGGCGCGAATTGACAAGAGGCGGCACCGCCACCCCCGTTACCGTTTCCAGAGCCTCCGTTCCCTGCACTACCGACACCGGCCACGCTTCTAATAGGAATAGTGTCGAAAGCGCTTGGATCGACGTAGCTGTTCGACGCGGTGGCGTTACTCTCTCCGTTTAGACCCGGTTTCGTTCCCGGTTTCTTGTGCCTTCGATTGCGCAGGTGAAGGTAGAGGAAAACAGCCCCGAAAGCGACAACCAAGAGAAGCAGAGCGATCAGTAGACCCAAAGCCCAGTCCGCCAGACCTCCGGATGCGGCGACGGCCATATTTGAACCTCCCACGTCGTTCGGAGTGGCCAACGCAGTGGCGCCTCTCGCTTCGTTGATGTCGTTGTCGTCCATCAATGTGATCTCCACCACCGTCATGTTCGACAGAGATCCCTGTCTACCGGAACTAGCGCTGACCACCAATCGCGACGATTCCTCCACGTCCATGTCGATGTGTATCAGTTTCTGTTTCACGATCAACGATCCCGTGGTACGATTCAGCTTGAAATACGGGTGCTGAGACGTCAACTGATAAACCACCCGACCGTCTGGACCCTTGTCGCGATCGGTAGCCGTCACATGGCCAATAACCGTGCCAGGGAGTATCCGAGCTCCACTCCTGATACCGAATCTGTACATTCTCTCGGTGAACTGCGGGTAAAACTCGTCCCTGGATTCGATTTCCACCCGGACTCGGACGGCGGCTGCTCGTCCACCCGTGTCGGTGGCCCTCAAAGTGAAAGCGTATCGATTGCGCAGCTCGTAGTCGAAAACTGCGCGCGTGGTCACGGTGCCGGATTTTCCGTCCACCGCGAACAGCTTCCAGCTGTCGTCGATGTCGGAGAAGCCGGTCGCGGCGGCGGACACGATGGAATAGTTCAGGGAACCGAAAATGCCGCGATCGAGATCCGAGGCACGAGCCGAGAAGACCGTCGTACCGATTGGCTCGTTCTCTCCGACAAACTCCAAATATTCCGAGACCGGGAATTTCGGGGAGTTGTCGTTCACATCCTCCAGACGGATTCTTAGCCTGGTCAACGCGCAGAGAGGAGATACCGGATCGCTGTCGCACGCCATCACCACGAGGTTGTAGATTTCCGGCTCGAGATCGCAGTCGAGGGTTGCGTTCACCAGCACGGCCCCAGTGGTCTTCTCTACGCGAAAGAGGCCGGCGTCGTTTCCGGATGTAATTTCGTACAGCAGATTCGCAGCCGCGCTTCCAGCCAGGTCGTCGTCCTTTGCCTGCAAAATCGCCACGACGGTTCCACGGGCTGCGTTCTCCTTAATCGATACCTGGTGCAACTCTTCCAGGAAGCGGGGGTAATTATCGTTCGCGTCTTCGACCGTGACGATCACCGTAATGGGTTCGTCTCCGGCTAGCGATCCAGTTGTCATATTCTGGTTCTTCGAACCGAGTCGCAGGACGTACCTAAAAAATTAATGTCGTCGTAAGCACTCCGAAAGAAAGCGAATCAACGTGTCAGGTCGTGTCGAATAAACCGTTCTTACCTGTCCTTCGTTTCTCTGTCGAGCACCTTGGAAAGAATCAATTCTCCTCTGGACGCTTCGAACGTTCCGCTGTCGTCGCCAGCAACGATGCTACCGTCCAACAAGTCCACGTCGGACAATCTCATCAGAATGGTTCCCCTCGAAGAATTTTCCTTCACCGTTATCTTGTATTCTTTTCCCGGCAGCGTGCTCTTCAAGCTGCTCAATCGTACCACGATCGAGCAGACGGATGACGCCGGCGGTTTCCCGTAATCTTCCGCCACAACGGCCAGCTCCACCTCTTTGGGCAGGGGTCTTGGTATCGCGGTACGGTTAACCGTCAGAACACCGGTCACAGGATGCACGGAGAAGCCTTTGGTAGCTTTCAACAGATAATATCGTACTCGGCTGTTTTCCTCCGTGAGGTCGTCGTCGGTCGCGTTCACCGTCAGAATTTCTTGCAGGTCTCCGCGTCCCTCTGTACGACAAACGGAAACAGAACGTGAGCATGATGCAGCTACTAGGTAGACACGTAAAAAAATACTTCTAATAATACTGGTATTACTTTAGTATCGCTAGTTGTGAGTTCAGGATCACTAGTTTTGACTTCGTTGTCACTAGTTATCATTAGTTTTTACTTCGTTATCACTAGGTTTAATTTGTTGTCACTAGTTATTACTAAGAGTAACCACCACTAACTACTAACCACCCAGCAACACCCGCTAACCATCAACATACACTAATCGACCTAACCACGAACTAGTGGTAACAAATTAAGACTAGTAATAACTAGTGATAAGGGAGTAAAGACTAGTGATGCTAAAGTAACAACATATATACACGTGTACCGAGGTTCGACTGTCGGTTTTCAAGAAGTGCGAGCGCGTATGTACTCGAAAAGGGCCCGAGCCAGAGCCCGGGACAAAGATCGAGGGATCACTGGCACGAGGTCAAGTACCCTCTGCCTCTTTTTGTCGGAGGTAGGTACGTCCTCGAGCAGCACCACCGCTCTGCCACCACCTCCAGTTCTTTCTTTTCTCGGTAAAGGAGGAGGATAAGCCGTTCTGACGTCGGGCTGAACGGAAGTATGAAATAATAACCAGTTGTATAAATCGCTCGGCCGGTCGAGCCGTGGGGCCAGCTCCGCTCCGCCGTACAAAAATCATTTCGATGCGTTTCAAATCGTCGGATAACTCGGCATTAATGTGCCAAGCCTCGACCTAAAGCGAGGAAGAGAGACGAGGATAACCGAACGGTGGGCCAGGAGAAAGAGAAAAGGAGGGAGCAAGGGGCGGAAGGGCGGAGAGGTGGAGAGACTGAAATAAAACTTCACGGACTCGCAGCCCTTTGGGGATGTCCGAGGTGAGGAGGTAGGACGACCTCGGAGAAGGAAGGGAGGATCTTAACCGAGAAGTGACAGGTACTCTATAATTATTGCGAGGTGCGTATGACCGTGGAGTATACGTGTTCGCGTCACGATGCCTTACTGGGACGAATTCTTATTACCGGCAGCACCGAAGTTCGCCGAGCTTTCTCCCTTCTCTTCATTAATCCCTTCTTCTTTCCAGAACGTGTATTCTGCCGTCTCGGGACACCTTAATACGATTTTGATAATCACCGGATTAACTCGTCTTCCTTGTTCGCTGATCGCGAAATAAACGATCCGCCTTTCACGCGAAAAAGCATCGAAAACGTACACAACCGAGAAGAATTAGATCTCCTCCCCGGATCCCGTGGCTCCGGTTATCGACCGGCTACACGCCTTTCGGATCTCTCTTCGAAGGAAGCCCTTCTCGTCGTCCCCCTGCCTTCTTCTCCCGTTTTCGCGATTCCACGTAGCGAGGGTTGAGAAGAGGCGAAAAGAAGAAGATGCAAATTCGCGAGGCCGTCGCCGTGGGAGCTCCCCCATTTCAACTCTTTCCACGTCCACCTCCTGCCAATCCAGCCTCCTCCGTCACCCCTCTACCGCCCACCCAAATGCACCATTAGGCGCAGGCCTATGTATTTTTAATAAGTTTCGAGAGTCTTCGAAGCCGGTGATCTCGGCCGGCGGTTGCAGCGAAGGCGGCTTTTCGGCTGCTTCGCAAACGGTGTCCTCGCGTTTATTTATGTGCGAGGCGTTCGCAATTCTCCTCTTCTCCCCATACCCCCCTCTCCACACCGCCGTCAACCTCACCCCCTGTCGTCTTTGCCGTTCCTTTTCGTGCGTCTCTCTTCCACCTTCGGTTCCTTCGTTCACCGATCCTTTCGCCGTTCGAGCAGCTAGCTTTTCATCGGTCCCCACCCCTCCACCTCTGTCGTCCACCTTTCTTCTCCATCGTTGTCGTCCTTCCTTCCTCCTCTCTTTCTCTTTCTCTCTGTTCGCCTCTCTTTTCCGCGCTTTATCTTGGCGCGGTGTCAATTCGAGTTTGGAACACGGGCAACAGGACAACGCGTGTCTACTAAAAACCAGTTTTTACACTCGTGTTTATTTCACGCAGAGGGGCATGTCCCTCTCCTTTGTCCCCCGTTGACATGCCTCTTCCTTCCTTCCTTCCTTCCATCCTCGCACCCCCGTTTCAATTTCACCCCGATGTTTTCACGAAACACCAACCGAACAGCTTAAGTTTCTATGAATATTACTCACCTGGAAGAGTAGTGATGTACGCGGATTGCTGCAGTCGAGGCGTGTTGTCGTTCAGATCCGTCACGCGAACTATCAAGTTCGTGATCGCCTCGTGGATGCCATCGCTGGCCATCACTTGCAGGCTGTATTCCGACCGCGTCTCGGCATCCAAACGTCTGCGGAGAACGACCTTGCCGCCGTAACGGTCGATACTGAAAGGGCCTGGATTAGTCACGTTCCCGAATCGGTAAGTCAAAGCCGGGGAACTGTCCACATCGTTCGCGGTGACGGTCGTCAGCACTGTGCCCACTGCTGTACCTGTATCAAGGTTATCAATGAAATTCAATGAAATCAGGACACCCCGTATTGCAAAGCATAATTGGTACGTCGCGTCGCCTCGTTAGATTCGGTCAGGGAAATCGCGCATCGACGAACGTAAGATCGTACAATCGGAAGCTGGGTCGTGGGGTGCACTCGATGAAACGTTCAACAACGACATCGAACGGGAGTCGCTGTATCGTCGCACAATGCCAGACACCGTTGTTACTGATGAATGGCGTCGTTATACGGGCCGTATTTCCCCCTGGTCCTTTTGTCCTCGTGACAGAGAAGCCACTTTGTCACCGGCAGACGATCATTCGCGATACACACACGGTGCGACGCGACGCCGTGGATCCCGGGTCGGGCGGAGCTCTTCCGCGAACTTAAAGACACTCGGAGGGAGCCGCGTTTAAAATGCATCGAATCCTGACTATCGGCTCGTTTCATCTCGCTCGTGGTAAGAGAAGAGGCCCAGCGAATCCCTCGAAAAATTTCGTGCATCGCATCGTGGAGGATAATCTCGGGCGTGTCGTGGGCAAATTACGAGTTACGAGCAGACCGATACGACGCACGGCAGGAAGCTGCCGGAATATCGAAAATCAGAGTCTGCGAGGAAAATATTGTCGCGATTCGTCACGGGCGACGGTAAGTTCGCCGAACAAGAAACGGAAGAGAGAGAGAGAGAGAGAGAGAGAGAGAGAGAGAGAGAGAGAGAGAGAGAGAGAGAGAGCAAGCAAGTTAGGGGTTCGGGATCGTTTGATACACGGCGAACGGTGCAACACCTGCACCGCCAAAAAGAAAAATGATTTCGCGGCGCAGCGTGGCGCGTTCGAACAGCTTCGGGGAGACTAGTTGGCACGCGGCTACGTCCGCTCGTAAATTTCACGGGTGATCGTTAAAGTCGTGTAAATCGGTTTCAAGAGCGGCCGCGTCCCAGAGCCAACGCGTGGCCGGCCCACTCTGTGCTTCTCCGGTTCCGGTAGTGTTCTCCGGCGTCGGAAGCAAAGGTGAGTATACGATCTCTCTATCGTGGCGCGTTCTCTTCCTCGTTTCCCTGTCCCTTCTTCCGAGGATCGAACGAAAACAACCGCTGGAGAACACGGCGAATGCCGTGGAAAGCTCCCGGCTCGGCAACGAGTTCCTCGCGAAATAATAAATTTCCGTCTCTACCCACTCGATCTTCGTAAGTTATATCGAGTTAATTCTGATTACCGGAGGTCCTACGCGTTCGCGGATCGGCAACTGTACAGAGGTATGTACATACATATGTACCTACTGTACGGTACGCGAACGCGATACGTCGGCGGTATGCTCCTTGTACGGAAAATCCGCTCGTCGGTGGTCTACCATTGTTTCGATTTCTCGTGTCAGTGCCAGTTTCGGAACCGATCCGATCGATGCTGTCGTTTAAATCCACCTTCGATGTACGCCCGTGTGGACGGGGCCACGGCGGTTGCGTTCTGTGTACGCCCCGAGTGGACGCGGCGAAGACCCTTCAAGGAACAAAGGCATGGGGCTATCAAACATCGGCGAACCGCACCTCTCGTTTTAGGCCGAACGATAATTATATACGCCGCGTTCCTCGGGATAATTAAAAACAATTAAGTACTGTGCGCTTCGCTAAAATACGAGCGGCGGTCGCGGGAGACCCGGGATCGTTGTTTATTGGCGCTCGCGCTCGCCCGCGGTTCCACGAAATAATGAAGTATTCGGTCGACCGGTGGAAGATCGACGATACTATGAAGCATATTTGCTATTCAATTTGTTCGTTCGAGAGTCCGCGGACGACCACCGGGTTACGTACAGTCGCAGGGAGATTGAAATTCCGGTGGATTTGCGGATGGTTCCATCCGTGTTTTCGCACGATTGCCAAAAGGACAAATCGGTATCTACAAGACCAGTATAGCGTGATAGGGTGTCTGAAAAGTCTGACGCGTTTCTGAGTCTGCGGCGAGTCGCGTGACCACGGTATTAAATAGATTCTATCGAGCATCGATAATAGAAGTGGTAGCAGTCTCGTTTGCACCGGAGTGAAGTTTTACGGTGATACGAATTAGACAGCGATCTCGCGTTACACGGTTTTTAGAATATCGAAATAAGAGCTGGCGAAAAAAGCGTTGTGCCGATTAGACGAAGAGGACGGAGAGGAACTGGGGAGACAAAGAACAACGAGAAGACGGAAAGGAAATGGATGAAAAATAACGGAGAAAGCATGAAACGATGGAAAATCAAGGGTGACAATAAGGATACGGTCGCGGTATGAATTGAGTTAAAGCGCGCATTTTTTTCCCCCGGGACAATAGACAGACTAACACGCGCGAACAAAAGAATCCATCGTTCGAGGTGCCAAGGTTCGTAACCCGCAAAACCATGACCATTTCCATCTTCGAGTCTTCCTCATTCCAGGCCGCATTTTATATCCTTTTGTTTCGCATCTTCGTATTTTATGCGAAGGGAATATTGTTCGAAGAGGACGGTAGCGGCGCGAGGCTGGCGCGAGGCTGGCGCGAGGCTCTGGCGCTTGCGCGTCGAACTCCTGGCCACCTTCGCTAGGTGCTGCTGTTCCATTGAATCGTATCTGTCAATGGGGAACAATATGAGAAGCCGAGAAGGACAGAAGACTGGACGAACGACGCGCAAGCGAGAGACGGCGAAGTGTATACCCGAACGGGCGTTCGCAGCCTGGCCTAAGTTATGCAGATTGTTCCGAACAGTTGGACTTTAATGCCGGCATAAATCCTTTGCCACTTAACTTTATATGTACTCCGAGAGTAGTATGCACTCCCACTTCGACTGGCCCGCGTTGCTCCCTCTCTTTTCGTCTCGGGCCAACTTTCGCCATTTCTTTCCTCCCTTCGTCATTTCTCGTTCCCCTTTCGACCTTTCCGCTCCGTTGTCTCTTTCCTCGGCCGCCTTTGCCCCTTGCTCGGTCCTCTAACGGATCATCGTGCTTCACTTTGCCGCGCAGAAACGTCTCTTTTCGTGCTCGCGTGGGCGACCTTCCAAGATATTTATCTACCGCGGGATCGACTAGATTTTAAACGAACGAGGATAGAGTACGGGGACGGACAGGCGCGCGCGTTGCGAGACTGAAATTCGATCCACGATCCACGATCCGTGAACGATCGCTAGGCGGCGTGGCATGGGGCGTGGACTGGCTACCGTGCGACACAGCCAAAACCTCTTAAAATTAAAAGATTCAACCCCTGCCGCGAACAAAAAAGTCTCATTCGCCTCGACCGATCGGGCAATTAGATCGAAGAACGGGGTCATTGAGTGATCGTCAGCTATGTACGTTGTAAAAGCGCTGATTGGAAATGACACAGTCCGATGAAATACAAGGAGGCGTGCACGCGATTGCGTCTGCGTCGTAACTTGTTCGCGCACCATTGCAAATAACACCAGCTAATAATCGTCGGTTAGCCTTCATTTCCGAGGTACGTTAAGCAGAATAAACGCTATAATTGGACTATACGACCGTTGTAATTATCTCTCCCGTTTAATTTCTAAGGTTCGGTGGCGGTTAATTTTCATGCTACTTTTTTCCCTTCGATATCGTCTTTGCTGTCCTGATTTCATTTACGGGCAATTATTAGCGACTTACCTTCGGACACCGAGATGATGCTGTGCTCCGGAAAAGTCGGCTGATTGTCGTTGATGTCGATCACTCGAACGCTGAGCGCAGCTGTGCCGGTTAATTGGGGATTTCCTTGATCCGTCGCGATGATCGTCAGCCTGTACTTCTCGCGGATCTCGCGATCCAGAACGATGTTGGTCCGAACTATACCGCTGTACGGCGGACTTATGGTGAACGCGTTATCCGGATTTCCGTCGACGATGTGATAGAGGATCCTACTGTTCACTCCTTGATCAGCGTCACTGGCCGAAAGCTGCGTGGCAAACATGCAATACACATACGACTCTCAAACTGTAAAATAACATTAACAAAAGGTAATGTTCGATGGTGTATTTTACCTTGACAACAAAGTCTCCTTTGACGTTGCCCTCCAGAACGGTCGCCGAGTATTGCGTCTGCGTGAAAACAGGCGGATTATCGTTCACGTCGGACACTCCGACGACTACTTTAACGTAAGCTTCCAAGGGATCCGATCCAGTGGTCCTGGCAACTACGGCGAGCACGTGCTTCGAACATTCCCTGGGTTCCTCCTTGGACAGCTGTCCCTCCAAAGATCTTGCCCAGGAATTTGTCCGTCCGTCTTCGGATTGTCCTTCCGTGGGTTTCACTCTCATGTCGGTCCAGAGTTCCGCGTCCAGTCGCGTGGGATCGTTGACACGAAGCATTCCAGTGTCCTCGTCGATGGCGAACGTGCCGAAATCGTTTCCCGATCCAAGGGAGTAGGAAACGTGCTGTCTTCTACCGTCCGACCGGACAGCGGTGACCTGGACCACCTCGGTGCCGGCCGGCGAGTTCTCTTGGATCGCAACCTCGTAGGTTTCGTTTTGAAACTTGAGCACAGGCGACAAGTCCGCGGGGTCACCGACTTGCAGCTCGATCAAGCCACGAGCACTCTTCGACGGATTTCCCCTGTCTCTCGCCAACACTTCCAGGTGGTACGTCTTGCCGTTGTCCTGCGACAAGGACAACGCCGCCGTGACTGCGCCGGTACTCGGGTGTATTCTGAATTTGGGCTTCTCCTGTTCGTGCAAGAACGAGTAGACGATTTCTCCGTTGAGGCCTTCGTCCGCGTCGGTCGCCACTACTCGAAGAATGTTCTTCTCCGGTTGAGTTCCGATCGACACACGGGCGCGAAATGGAAATTCCGCGAAAACTGGAGTGTTATCGTTGACGTCGCTCACTCGGATCTCGACAGGGATGGACGTACTTTTGGCGGCGTACTTTCCGCTATCGGTGGCCACCACGACGAAGTTGTAAGAGCTCCGACGTTCTCGATCCAACGGTCTGCAAAAAAAACGATCGTAAAGAATAACTTTATAAATATCCACGAGTCCAACAGTTATCGACGAATGGGGGAAACGAGTGATGTTTCTATTCGACGGAAAATTCAAGACCGTGGCCAGTTAACGAAAATTACACCCAGTTTACAGCTCGTTCTTGGGGGCATCTTTAATTCTGATGCATCGGCCGATAGACAATTGTTCGAATCCGGAGAACGGGCCGGATTTAAGCGGAAGGTACGGTAGCGGTGGCGGCGGGCAGCTTGTTTGTGTGACGGAAGCCTTAATCGCGCACGGCGATCTTGTGTAATCCACGTCCGCCATTACCGTAACTCTGCGGATCCTCCGTGGCGGCTCAGCGACCGTCGTTTCGTGCCTTAAATCGCACGAAAGCTGGGGGAGGTTGGCTGCTTTTTCGCCGTTACCAACAAGCGAATTTAACGTCCCCGTCGCCGTGAGCTATATGCCCCGAGAAATCGTTGTATCGACTTGGTGGAGCGCGAACTCTCTGTCTCTCTCTCTCTCTCTCTTTCTTCCTTTCACCGATTTCCGCGTTTCTAAGCATCGACCGGTAGGTACGTTCCCCGCGTTTTTCAGATTCGTTTTCCTATTCAGCCGATTCCCGGCGGTGTTCGTTATTTACAAGGTGCCGTTTTCCCATTCGTATGTATACGCGGAAAGAACGGTACGACGCGACTCGACGTCTATATCGCAGCGGCTAATTCTAATCTAATTATACTATCGCGGTAAATTTTTCGCTCGACCCGCGGCTTGAATGCATAATTTGTTCCCATTCAAAGGTGGCCGTTTAACCGGTAACATTCAATTGCCGGGGATTTTTTCCCATGCATGCCGACGGATACCGACGATAACACCGAGGGGCGGGCGTAATTTATCGAATCGGCAAACTTTGTCTTTATTAGCGGCTTCGAGAAGTCACGCGAACTCAGCGAATTCGCGGGCAGCCGATAAGCACCGGCGGGTCCCCGATAATGGGCTTCGCGCGTACGTACGTACGTACGTGTACGTAATAACCTTTAACGAGCGTGGAATAATAATCGAATCCTGGTAGCGCGTAAGATCAACGGGGTTATTTACGATTTAACCGAGTCGACTTGCCCGACTCGGGCCGTACTGTCGTGCGATTAAACGAGGTCGACTATTTTCATTTACGGCAGCACGAATCGCCTCTCCGGAGATGCCAGATAATATTCTTCGAACTGCTGCTCATTGAAAATCATTGTTTCTGTCACGGCAATGTTGCGCCTTAGCCTCCTCCTCCTTCTTCTCGGCCTCCACCTCCGCCCCCGCCTCCGTCTCGGCCTCGGCGAAGCCGTCTGCGGACGAAAGCAAAAGGATCGCGATCCACGAATCCGCGATCGAGGTCTCGCCGCGGTATTATCGGGACCGAATCGTCCTCGACACGAAACTTCGTTATCGACTCGATCTCGTGAGATCTGGTCTCGTTTCGAGGCACGGATCGGGCTGTATCTTCCGGGTGGTCCTGGGAACGGACAACGGAGAACATTGGTACACCCTGCCGGCGGTGGAGAGCCCGGCAAACGGCGTCGACACGCGCAGCTAACAGCAATAGCAACAATAATGGCAACAACGCGACACGGGTGTACGCTCGATGGCTACCAGTGCGGAGGTACGACGAGAGAACGCGAAAAGAAAGAGAGAAGAACGAGGAGGAAGAGACGACACGGTGAGAGAAAGGGACGGAGAAATGACGCGAAGAGAGATCGCGAAGAAGTGGCCCGACCGGGATCTGGTTTTGCATATCAGGCTTTTTGCCGGCTGAAATAACGCATTGAAATGCCACATGGTGTCCCGCTGAAATGACACACGGCTGTCGCGCGGCAAAAGTACGCCCCTGCGTGCCTCCTCGCGGCTACCGACACCCTTCGCCTTCGCCCCCCCCCCGCCCCATAGATCTTCCTATTCTGCGACTCCATTCTGTCGTTTACCGCTCCTTTTTTCGCCCCGTTTCTTTTTCTTCCCTTCCCTACCGACTTTTCTACAGTCGGTTGCGTCTTTATCGAAAATAAAACCAGAACGGACAATGTTACATAGCTATTTGTTTTGTCCAACGGAATCGACAAAGGCCACGCGGGTTCGGATGTCTTTGTTGAAAATTTCGTCGAATCCTAAAAGGAATCCTAATGTTATCCTAAAGCGATTCTGATCGATGTTGTACTTGGCGGGTGTCATATGTGAAGTTTTGTCACCAATTGACGTTTAACGACGCCTCGCGATACACAGTTATTGCGCGTGTAATCGTGACAATCATAGCAAAGAGGGACGAGGAACGATAATTTTATGACGTTTCTAGAGCTACTGCCTTCTTCCACTTCCCTCACCGTCTAGTCGAAACTATTGCTTCTTTCTCTACGTACCGCCCGCTCGCACCTACCAACAGTACCAACTACGTACTTCTTGTTTTATGACGTTGGAGTGGCGGTGTAATATCCCACGCGATAATTAATGTCAGAATGTTATCAGTTTGTCGGTGTTGTTACCGCGAAGAAAAGAACATTACGGTAGAAGGGATTTGCCAAATAGAGGTGTTGCACGATCGTGGTGAGAAGATCGCGTAAACACGTTGTGTAGATGGGAAAAATGCTCGACGCTTTGATAGTAAAGAACAGAAGTTACAATTACTCACCCAGCCGTTGTGATCACGCCAGTTAGGTTGTCAACCCTGAACAACCAGCTTGTCTCCTCTGCGATGGAGTACGTGATCTTCCCGTTTACTCCTTGATCGGGATCGGTCGCTCTTACCGACATCACGCTGGAATCGGGCGCCACATCCTCGGATATCGTCGCCGCGTATTTAGCAGGATGATAGTTTGTAGGGTAATTCGACGACGCGTATGGAAAGCCGCTAGGCAATCCGAAGCTGGGATATTCGACGTTCTGAAGCGATCCTCGTGGTCGCGACTCGGTGTATTGATTCTGGGCGAACGCCGGAGCGTTGTCGTTAACGTCTAAAACGATCACGGTCAGGTTGCATCGAGCCTCCAAGCTAGGTCGGCCTCTATCCTTCGCCGAAATCGTCAACGCGTATTTGGAGACAGTCTCACGGTCCAGATGCGACATCGAAAGCATACCGGTTACAGGATCCAAGATGAATTTTGCGCCGATATTGCCACCTGGATTCAACGCGATCGATCAGTTGGACAATTGCAAGGAAAATTATTTATTAGGTACATACATGCATAGGTACCTGATAAATACTGGTTGGAACGACGGGAATACTCACCCACGATACTGTAATAGATCTCGCCGTTCTTTCCTTCGTCAAGATCGGTCGCCGCGATCGTGTGAATCACAGCAGTCTCTTGGTTCTCCGGGACGGCCAGCGTGTAACACGAACCCGCCCGGAATTCGGGACTGTTGTCGTTTTCATCCATGACTAAAACTTGGAGCGTGCTGATATCCAACAGCTTGCTGGACCTTGCCAGAATTGGGACCGAGTAGAGGGAGGTCTCTTCACGGTTCAGGGGGCCGCGGAGAGTCACCAGACCGTTTGGGGAAACGGCGAACTTGTCCGAGGCCACGTTGCTCGGAATGCTGAAGCTGATGTTACCTGCGCATAATCGTAGTATGGATTTTCCTCAACATCTTTGCGTTTTTATCGACAGAATAGATTCTAACAAAACACACATGTACAGGTACGTAAACATACATCGATATATCGGTCAAGATTCAGTTCTGTAGATGGTTCGGACGCGTTGGTATAGATTTTCAAATTCCAGAAGACGGTACTTACGTTCGGTCACCGGTCGTAGATTATGTTTCAACGGGCTTATTGTTGGAACAAAGCAACGCGATCTTTGCGAATGTTCACCCCTCCCCCTCGGCCTAGCGAAGAAAGTATACTCGCGTGTATTTCGTGCTCGTAGACGAAGCAGCAAAACGGTAGTTACGGTGGCGACACGCACACGCTCGTGCCGCACGTACGCGAATGCCTATGCGTACCGCGGCAAGCTGGCGGCACGATGATATACGCGGCCATTGTTTCGCCTCTCTCCTCCTTCTCCGCGTCTCTTCCCTTCCCCACATTCCCGTTCTCCCTTTTCCCTGCGATGGCACGGACGCGGTTCCGGAGCCCTACCAGGACGGGTCGTCCTTCGGGGTATTGCATAGGGACGCGCGGGTCCCTTTGCCGGTTGGTTCCGCGGGGCGCGCTAATGCGCTCGTCTGATACACGGGCGCCGCCGCCCGGTCTAGATAAGCGCAAAACGAGCGATATATGTACCCTGTTGTCGGCCATACAGAACGCTTTGCTACGAGACCGGGAACATCGGACTTTCCGAGCGCATGCTTTTAGTAATAATCGTGTGATTGGGCTTGTTCCGCGTTGCTCCTCGTCGTTCAGCTCGGGGACGTTGGAGGGCCAAGAATCGAACAGGGCGACGTTGTAAAACCGATCCGAAAGATCGTGCACGATGATCGCCCTCGGATCAGTCGATAGACGAGCCACGTTGGTTTCTAGTTTTAAACTAAACCGTACGCGATTAAACGAGGAAGCAGGACGTGCAATGTCGAGAGCGGGGACGATTATCGTTATCGGATGTACGCTGAAAGTAGAACCCGAGCATCTGTACCATGCGGCGGCGGCGGCGGCGGCGACGACGAACGTATCCACGAGGATGGAATTTTCTCGTCGCTGGAATCCTTCGGCGAGCTTTTAGAGCGGCGACGAGGAACACCGTTGGTTAGTCGGTGGGAGGACTAAAAGGAAGGGGAGACGAGACTCGGCCGCAGCAGGGTATACCGCAAACGTTACACACGGATGGAACGCGTTCTCGACCCCGAGGGAGCCGGACCGCGAGTCATTTCGTTGAATTTACTATAATGCCCCGTACCGACCGGATTCAAGGCAATTATTCGAGGTATTTTCATAGCAGCAGGGCTTTCCTATTAGCCGGGCTGGGTATCCGCAGCAGCCCGACGCCGATTATATTCCCTTCTCGCAGCGGTACGGCGTAGGTGGCGCGCACCTTGCCGTTACCGTGCGGTGCCCATCCGCGCGGATGCCGCCACAGAATATGTATGTATATACCGAAGCAGCAGCAGCAGCAGGTAAAGTCGAAAATTCAAGAGGGAGAACGAGGGAGAACGGATACGGCGAGGAGAGAAGGAAAGGAGGCATAGCGATGGTGGTGGTGGTGGCGGCGGCGGCGGCGACGACAGGGACAAGATAGGAGACTGTAATTTCAACTTCTCGTCCTATACAGCGCTAAATTGACAGCCCCTCCTGTTCCGTGGCACTTTATGCACCGACGCACCACCGAAACAATAACGACGCGAACGAAACACCTAAAAGGGTAGCCGCGAGAGACCCATTTTTGGTCCTCTCCTATGTCCTTGTCGTCGCTTTCGCCGGCGTGTGCGCGCGTGTACGTGTGTGGGGGAGATCGATAAGTTCCGAGCGTGCCGAGTTCGGCTTTGTCCCTTTGCATTATCCTTGCAAGCGTTAAACGACTACACGCGGTTTCTATCTGATCATCTTTCGCGAGCAGTGATATACGAGCATCGGCGGATATTTATCAATAAACTGACCGGTTGTAAATCCAACGGTTTTATCCCTGCGTATAGGGAATAGGTATAATGGAATCGGGAATCAGGAATCGGCGATCTTGATCGATCCGCGGCAAGATCGTTAAGCCGATCCGATAACACTTTCGGAGAGATCTGCGGTGAACGTGCTTACCCTGATCAACGATGATAGAACCGGCGACGTTTAGAATCGGCGCTCCAACCTGGAGGTCCTCTGAAACTCTAGCTACTGGGTTGGCGAGCAGTAGCCGAGGAGGCCCGTTGGTCTGTCCAGAAGCCAGCAGCGTCAGAGTCAACCTAAGAGTCGACTTTCGCGGCGGGGAACCGTGATCGTTCGCCGTAATCTCGAGTTCCGTGGACCTCGCCATCGGCCTCTCCAAGCTCACTATACCAGACTCGTAACCCACCGAGAATCTCGCCTCCTCGTTCGCCGATGTAATCACGTACGATACACGGCCATTGTCACCTGCGTCTTTATCCACGGCGACCACTCTCACGAGCGTAGCTCCTGCAACGATGCCAATTTACGATATGCCTATTATCATACATATATAATTGAATCGCCCGTCTGTCTCCACCTTAATACATTCATTCGATATTAACATCGAACCATCCTTGCCGTTGTATAATACAACACAATAAAAACTATGTATTTTTATAGGTGTATGTATTGCGAAGCCACTTACCTGGTAAGAGATCAGGCGTCACCGGGACTTTCGTTGATTCCGGAGCGACGAAAACCGGATCGTTGTCGTTCTGATCGAGAACGATGATCCTCGCGGTCACGGTGGATGCTAATCGTTCGCCTGGTGAAGCGCGATCGGACGCCCTCAGGATCAACGTATACTCCGCCCGTTCCTCCCTGTCCAACGGTTTCGTCAAAGTCAGAGCACCGGTCAGGGAATCGACGGCGAAGCTGCCTTTCGACGGAATTTCGGCTACCAGCCCGTATCGTAGTTCCCCGTTCAAGCCGCTGTCCAAATCCGTGGCGGTCAGATTGTACACGGTCGAGCCAATCACAGCCTTTTCGGAGACGCGAACGGGAATCGGATCCTGGGGCCACCGCGGTGGATTGTCGTTCGCGTCTTCGATGACGATCTTAACCGAGACGGCGATGCTTTGAGGATTCCCGATAGAAGTGGTGTCCAGCGCTCGGATCTCCAGGTGGTATTCGCTGACGTTCTCGCGATCGAGGGAATGAGCGACCACCAGCTGGCCGGAGCTACGATCCACGTCGAACGCTGGAAACTCGCTGATCGGTGTCAACGAGTCCAGGGTGAAGGCCACACGACCCGCGGGACCTGCCCCCGACACCGAACCCACCGCATGTCCGATGCTCGCATCCTCGCGCACCTGAATCGCGCGTTAATATTATACATATACATATTATATATATTATTACAAGTAGATATACCTATACGTATGTGTGTATAATTCAACCCATTTCTCGTAATTAACTTTTCGCCATCGTGATCTCGCGATGACTCGACTGTCGGAGTTCCCGGCACGGCGTTTTCATTATCGCTCGTCACGGTCGTAAATTCCGAGAAAAATCGGGATCGAACAGAAGCTAAAGGGTGGTGACTTTGGTCGATACTCACGTTAAAGGTAAGACTGCTGCTGGTGAAGGTCGGCCGGTTGTCCGCGAGTGCTAAAACCTCGACTCTTAGAGCTCGCACGCTGTGCCGTGGTGGTCGTCCGGCGTCGGTCGCTTTCACAGACACCCGGTATACGTTCCGCTCTTCGTGATCGAGAACCGCCTTCGTTCTGATCATACCGGTGATCGGGTCGATGGTGAAAACGTTGTAACCGTCCGAGTCTCGGTCTGAGAATCAAGGTTATTCGTGAACGTGAAGTAATCGAAGCAGCAGTAAAAAGTCGCGAGACGGAGGGCGGAAGAAGTCGGGAACGAATATCGTTGAGACGCTATTAAGGAAATGGCAATATTACGGGGGCTCAGCGTCGATTTAAGCATGTATCCGACGATGCCTGGGGATGCCGAAACAGTCGCGGCGTTCGTGAACGTGCTCGAGAAAATCAGTTGCCGATCGTAACGAGAAGATATAATCGTGCAACGTGTTCACCGTGGGCCCCGCCGATGCTCCATAAAATTCAACAAAGCCGCTCCAGTCCATTTTTAAGACCGTGCATAATTGTTTCGGTAACTGGCTAATTAATTTCTCGTAACGTTTTATTTCTTTTTCGAATTCTCGCGGATCGACGTAAAAGGCGGAACAGGTTCGATCTTTTACGGTGCCCCCACGTATCGCCCGTTCGTAGGGGTGTCCGTTGTTGGCCGATCGATCGCACGATGCATGATCAAAGTCACCTTTCAAGATGCTGTAAGTCACCGTGGCATTCTCGCCAAGGTCCGTGTCCAACGCCCTGACTCTCGCGACTTCTGTTCCCGGCGGTTGTTCCTCCCGGACGCTGACCACGTCCCCTTGAGGATCCACGATTTCGGGCGAATTGTCGTTCACGTCCAGAACCGTCACTTTCAGGGGCACCCTGACAGCCCTCGACGGCGTTCCTTGATCCCGAGCCTCGAGCACCAATTCGTGCACACTCTTCGTCTCTCTATCCAGTGGTTCCCTGGTGCTGATCTCGCCTAGAAGTCACGAACGAAGGAAAATTAGACGATTCGTTACGATCGCAGACAGTACTCGCGCGCATCCCATACGTGGAACCGTTCTTTTAACGAGTTATTCACAAGTTCCCGTCGCTCCATTTAGCAGCTGACGTTCGTAAGTAGAGGTCGAAAAACGTTTATGACTCGCATTCGTTTCAGCTTCGCGAGCTGATTACTAAAACCGTTTCTACGAGGAAAATTTACATCCTGATCGGTCTCGAAGAAAACGCCTGAAATCGATCCAGATGGACCATGCACAAGGAACTGAATTATCATAAATATCCCCGTATAAAACTCGATACGCACGGCCGACAAACGTACAGCCGACACCGCGCGGATAGACCGACCTTATCAATTTCCCCGGACGGGAACGGTTAATTGGATAATCGCCGTTCGTGCGCTCTAAGAAACGCCATTTGAACGCTCGAATTCCACGGTCGCGCCTCGACTCCGGCTATCGTATTTCGTTTCCGTCCTCTTCTCGCATATTATAATCGTACCACGGCCGCGTGTAGAGGTCCCGCGTGTAACGAGCCTCGCTGTAATTACGTACTCTCGCAAAGTAGATGCTGTTGCAGAAGTCGCGAACTGCGCGAGGGTTGTAGAAAGAGCTGGAGATCGAGCAGAACGAGTAGGAGGCAACGAAGAACATGGAGAAGGAGAAGGAAAGAGGAGAGCTGAGAAGACGAGGTAGAAAAAGAAGATGAGAAAAGGGGAGAAAAGGCAGGTCGAAGCTGTCTTGCCGACCGGTCGGTGCATTAATGGGTAATTAAGCAAGCGCCTAGCCGACCTAGCAGAACTATTCCAAGATCTGGAAAAGGAACGGGATAATAATTCGTACGCAAGGTCCACCGGCGTCGGTGTTCGTTCGGTGGGACACACAGGGCACCCGCGTTCCTCCACGAATTCTCGACGTACCTAGTCCAGCAGGACGCGTTCTCCTCGTCCGGCAGCACCGGCACAGAGAACAGAACCCCGTCGACGTGGCCGAGCCGTGCTCGTCGTCGAGAAGACAAACGATCGACGAGGGACATGCAAACGCGCCGGCATCGAGGGATACCATCGCGGAACAATAAGAAGTATATCGTAGGACGCGTGCTAATGCGTTTCTCGTGTTAACCGTGGGACCGTGCGACGACGGGTTTCTCCGTTCCCTCCGCCAGACCCGACTCTCTTTCCGCTTTACCCGCGTGTCTCTTCCAATATTTGGAAATCCATGCTCGTCCGAGCGTGAGTTAGAAAAGCCCGTTTCGCGTTGCAGCGTTGCACCGCGATCCAAAGGAGATTTCTCGGAAACGATCGGTCCTCTGCCCTGGCAAAACTGTCCAACTGCCGCCTATCCGCCTATCGCGAAACGGTGGATCGCAATGTACGACGGCGGTTCTTCGCGATTTATTCTGAAATTTCCGACTCTTCCGACGAGTACCTACATAACAGGCTATAGGTCTTCTTCCTTGACTTTTCGGAGCGGCGCGGCACGGCGGCCGAACAATGTGAAATCTCCCCCGACAAAAGATTAATACATATAGAAGCGCCGGGTACGACGGGGCAGCTGATACTTCCGGCAGAGGGGGCCTTCGTTTTTATTTTTCTGTGCCGAAGGTTCGCGCCGAGACGACCGAACAAGTCCCACCACCTCTCTGCAAACAGGCAACCCGGCGAGAGCTCTCGGTGGGTACGCGAGGAAGACCGGCCTGGTCTCGAACCAGCATGTACACAAATACTCTCGTGTCGCATGCCAATCAAACCACGTATGCGCGTAGCATACGGGAAGGAAGATGGAGAGAGAGGCAGCGTGCGTGCTCGTTTAGCGGTGCACGCTGAACCCGGACCCCTTTCTGGTGATTTGTTACACGCCGGCCAAGGTGAAAGCACCACTCTTACGGGATTATACTTTGATATCCACGAAGCAGGGGAGACGCTACAAAAACGAAATAATCGCGCCACCGTCCGCATCTCTGATATTGCGGCGTTCTACGGTCCTCCAATTAAAGGCATTCGTATCAAAAATAAATTTACCCTTTTCCCCTTCACCCTCCAACCCCCGATCTTTTTTCTCCTCACCGTTCCGGCCGCTATAAATCTTGAACTCGCGCCTCCGCCGAGACGCGAGCTTCTACAACATGGACGAAAGCAAGCGAACGGTAGAGCTTTGTGCGCCCGATTCATTAGGCATTTCGAGGACTTACGAAACGCCCGCGGAGATCTATCGAGGTTTCGAACGCTTCCAACTGGGTTGCCCAATCGCACGGAATCGAAATGTTCAACAATGGGGTACGCAACTCCGGTCGATGAACGTAGCTCGGCTTGACGCAACAGCTACGCGTGTAAATTAACAGCGTCGACGGGTGAGGGCTATTTAGGAAATTAATCGCCTGTTTCTCTCGTTTCCTCTCGCCTCGCTCAGCGGCCGCCGTTCGAATTCAATTCGAATAGATCATTTTTTCCGTTGGTTCTCGCGGCCACGTCGAGTGAATTCCTTCTTCGGATTACTACAAAGGAATCCCAAGCTGTAAATCTCCTCTGGCCGAGCGTTCTTCAATGCCGTTCGGTTCTGTTCATTTCGTCGGGAATCGACCGGCAAAGTGGATTCGCTAATATTTTTCCCGCGACTCGAATATCGCGTGGGATATACACTTCGCTCCGGTTGACTCCTCGACTTCGGTATACTTACCAGAGACACCGTTCGTAAACACTCGAACGTCGAGTCGCGTCGTTTCGTTTCGTTTCGTCGAGATGGTCGCGTACATTAACCGCTAAAAAGAAAATACGCGGCAAAGAAAAAGGGAGAAAGAACGTAGTCTTCTTACCTGTGTCGGGATCCACCGCGAAGCTGCTGTTGGGCTGAACCACCGCGTATCTGAGCAACGCGTTCTTCCCCAGATCGGAATCGGAGGCGCTCACGGATCCGACCAGCGTACCCGAGGGCAGATTCTCCAGCAATTCGAACCCGTAGAAATCCCTTTCGAACCGCGGATCGTTGTCGTTGTCGTCCAACACCGTCACCAGGACGGATGCGCTCGCGGTCGCAGCGGGTGAACCGTTGTCAGTCGCGAGTACCGTCAACGCATGACGATCCAGGGTCTCGCGATCGAGAGTCTGCGCCAGATAGATCCAGCCGGTGTTGGGGCTGATCCGGAACGCCGAGGATCCTTGGAGACGGTAACTCAACCTCGCGTTATTGCCCGTATCAAGGTCTACCGCGGTCACTTGGAGAATCTGTCGGACAAGAACAAGCTGTTTTAGCGTGTTTCCCAGACACGACGACGCGAAAAACAGAGAAACAAGTAAAACGAGTATCGCGTATTATACTTCGTTATTTTATTCATTATTCGATAGTTGTATCAATAGTTTGTTTTGTTATTTGTTATCACTAAATCCATATATACTGTTTTCATTTTCACGTTAATTCGTATTAGGATAACGCCGAACTTCGGTGACGACATCTATCGTGTCGGAGATTTAAGACCTTCGTTGACTATCACAGTCTCATCGTGAGTTCGCGCGTAAACAGATTGTTACGGGTACCTCTATGGAATCTGAATATCTGCGAGGCAAACGTTTGTCGCGGAGACGAAAGAAGAAAAGTAAAAAAGAAACGGGTTAGGGCGTTCGTAGAAGAAGAGGGCGGCGACGAGGAGACAGATAGAGAGAGAGAGAGAGAGAGACAAAGAGATAGAAGCGGCTAGGAGACAAGACCAGTCGATCCGGTTGTTTCGTATTAATTAAACGCACCCAAAGACCGCGAACCCTAAACGCGTTCGAACCGGCCGATATTTTCCGGCGCGGGAGGATCGTGAATTACGAAGGTTGAAGGAGAAGAACAGAAAGAAAAAGGAGAAGATGAAGAAGAAGAAGCGTAAGATTGAGGGTATACATATAACTTTGTATCCCGTGCACGAAGCTGGCGCGCGGGCAATGATGGATGGCGAACGAAGGGAGAGGAGGCGAGCAGATTGAAGGTAGGAAAAAGGATGAGGATGGAAAGCATCGTTCGTCGTTGTTCAGGGGGAAAGGAGAAGGGCGTAAAGGTGGGGAGATCATCGAGCACCATTAGAAGGAGAACCTGACGTGGGAGCAGGCTGTAATGTGTCTAACTGTACGTTATTAGTTCGCTGTGGGTGAAGGGTTACGCTCACTGTAGCCAGGTTACTCTTGCTGGCTGCCACATCCCTCCCCGCTCGACCTCTTCCCTTCTCTCTCGTTCCACCGCGGCTCAGATATAGTCCGGATACCACCGACAGCTCACAGATCTGTTTCGCCGATAGATACCACCGATATATACGTGTATACCGGGAGAAAGATGGAACGAAAGATCGAGTGGCGAAGGAAGAAAGAAAGAAAGAGGTAACGGCGAGGAACGTGCGCGGTTCGCGTCGTCGTTCTCGCTCTATCGTACCCTCGTGTATCCGTTGTATTAAAAATGTGACGTCATTTAACGATCCTATCTCGCGGCAACGATCTCGCGACCATTCGTCATCGGTATCCTCGTATTCGGGATTACGTCTACCGGTGGCTACCACCGCGAGGAATCGTTGTTCGTCGCTCGTTCCACGGCGGTTAGATAGCGCTGCCTCAGTGACGAACGTGTTCTCGGCCGTCTAATGACTCTTTCTCGACTCCCCTTTCCTGTTCGGTTCCCGCGCGTTTTCTCTTTCGAATCCACGTTCTTTGAGAAGGGCACGTACAGTAGTCTCCGGCGGTTTCGACACCGACCGCACGATCTCGTAGTTGACTCTGCTCGAGATAAATAATCATTTCCGCGGGCTGTACTCGGACAGCGTAACAGACTGACAAAAGGTTTCGCGAGACCGCGTGAAGATTCGTTCCGCGTCCGACCGTAATGGTGTTTAACCACGATAAATAACCTCTCGAGCGGAATAACCAGCAAAGCCTGTTCATAAAACGAGCAGCTACGCGCCGCGTTTCTGTTAAACCTATCAACGATTACCTATCAATCCCGGCGCATCCCGGCTCCATCGTGGCCAGCAATATACGCGTACATATCGCGTTACAACGCGCCGCGTTCCTATATCAAACTATCAGTTATACTCTATCAATCCTTGCACCGAACTGGTCTGTCCGGTAACCCCGCAATCCGCATCAACTAATCTCTCGCGCATTGCATCCTTCGACTAATTCGTATCTGTTCTATGCTGACAGGGTGAACTCGATGGGTCAACGTCTTCTTCTTCTCCTTCTTCATCTTCTTCCACCCGGTTCGGCGCTTCTAATCGAAGGTGAACGAAAACAGTGGAAGGCGAAGAGCGGATGGTATGGTAGCCGCCGCCGCGTACGTTCGATCCGAGTGGGAGCAAAGGTTTAACGGGAACAGTCTTCCTGGTTGTCCCGCCGGATGAAATTACGCATGACAAAGACGACTTTGAGAAACAAAAAGGATGGAACACGAGGGAAAACGGCAGGAACACAAGAGGAAGGCTGTTAATTCCTGTTCCCCACCTCCCCCTACCGATCCAGAATTTTGCTTCTCCTCTTTCGCCGACTACCCCCCATTCCCCTCTCGCTGACTCTTTCTCTATCTATCCCGATTCGTTCCATTATTTTTCGCGTGCATTTCCATGTACGCTCACGCACTCCCCCGCTCCCTTGATTCCCTTCCGCGAAAGGGAATCCTACCGCACGTCTCCTCGACAAACAAATGCCCGCGTGACGGGCGTGTAATGAAGATTTTTCTCACTTGAGAATCGAGCTTGGCGCCTTCGGGAACCTCCACGTGATACTCGTTCCTCTCGAACACTGGGGGGTTGTCATTCACGTCCTGCACCTCGACGCTCAGGCTTAAGTTCGCGGAGAGTCCGGCACCGTCCAGAGCCCTTATCAGGAGTCCGTGACGTTGCTGGGTCTCGTAATCCAATCTCCTCGCTAAATAGAGCTCCCCGGAACGAGCGTCTATCCCGAACAGGTCGTTGCTGTTCTGACCAAGGACGTAGCGTATCGGGAGTGTCGGGGTCGTGTCCGGATCGGTTGCGTGCGCCACGTACAGTGTAGTGTGTAGGGGATGAGATTCCGGTACGGAGATGCGAACGGTGCTCGTCAGGAAGATCGGTGGGTTGTCGTTCGCATCCTCCACGTTCAGTTCGATCTGAAACGAAAAACGACGATGGACAATAAGAATTCGTCGCCGTCGTGAAAGTTATCGTTGCGTTTCGTTTTGCTTTACTAATCCCGACGATGCCTACCTGACAATAACCAGCAGACACTCCATTACGCGCCTCGACGCTCAGAATGTACTTGTCTCGGGTTTCTCGATCCAACGGAAGGCGTATCCGAAGCATTCCTGTGTTGGGGTCCATCGTTAGATCCGGTTCTTCCTTCGCCAAATAAAATCTCGTTGGCCGTTCACCTGTGAACACAGTTATTATCGTTATTAAATGGCTACAAAGTGGCTTTTTCTTATACTTTTCTTTTAAATAATGATCGTTTTAAGAACGGTCGTCGGAAGCTGGATTCTTTGATGGAGGAGATAGGGGTCCGCGATGGGCGATGCGCATACCCTCGTATTAATTTTTTTCCTCGACCTTACCGAACGAAGAGTTCATTCGTTTCTTAAACGGAACGCGAGAAAAAAGAGCGGAAACGAAGGGAGAGAAGGCTGAAAGCGCAAAAATGACGAAAAAGTCGACGGATACTATATAAGCAGACTGCTCGTTAATTATAACCTGGGCTTGTTCTCACGTCTACATTTTGCTCCTTTCCTTCCCTCGGCGTGCAAATTGCACGAAAATTTTCGTAATGGGCAACGGGCGCGTGATTCGCCGCTGCCACGAATGGCATGATCGATTGATTGAATCGAATGCGCGCGATCTCGCTAAGCACCGTTCCGCACCGCGCCGCGCCGCGCCACGCCACGCCGCGTCCCAGACATACGCGCGCGGGTAGAATGCATCATTCTTTAACGATCCTCCCAATTACCAAGTACCTGTACGCCTTCGAGAATCGAGACGAACGTCCTCTTTTAACTAATTTCCGCGAGAGTAGCGTCGGACAGATAGACGTAGGAAATGACTGATGACCGACGACCGGTGGTTAAACGAAAACGAATCTCTCGTCGGCGCTGACCTCGGCCGATTTCATCGTGCGAGTTACGGCCCGACCAGGGCTTGGCTATGTCTACTGCTTGAAATCAATTAATAGGCAAATCGAGCGGTCATTACCGCTGGCAGACGCAATTGCATGATGGACGATTCGACGGCGAAGCAGGGCATGTTCCGTGCATAACGAGTGCCGTTCCCCGTCCGCCCACGTTCGACGCGCCAAGAATCGTAGGGATGTTCAGTTGCCGCCGCAATCGCCGCAACCGCCACTGCGAAACCACGCGGAATCCCACGTGGTATTGTTCTTGCGTCAGACTTGTAGATCGTCTCTCCGCTTTTGTACACGCTATTCAACGTTCTCGAGAACCGTTACCGCTTTGTCTCGCGGTCACTCCGTGGAATAACTTCGTGACGTTTTCTCGAGCCCGATTGATCGATCCTTTGTTGCTTCGGGATAGTTAGTAGCAGCCGAATTTTTCACCGTTTATATTACAGGCTAGCCGTGTGGTTGTAAAAACGTAAGGGTCTGCGCGCGCCATATCGCGGGAAGCCTGTCGATAATTGACTCCGATGGATCGATCGATCGCGTTCTGATCCAAAACGGGAGAGATCGCGCGTGTACCTCTGTGAATCGGTTACATGTTACATGTTACGTACATCGTTCGTGGATTCGTTTCGACAAAAGCCTCGGATCTACCGCGTCGCGATCGTCTCTCCCATGAAACCGATCGAGTTTTTCCTCGGACATCCCAGGAAAAACCTGGTAGACAGGAATGCGGAGTAGGCACCGCCTCCGTGGGTTTACGCGCAACGTAGCCGTGGTCGCTACCATTTCCACGATATCCGGTGACGTTGCACGCGTCGTCTTCGTCGTCGGATCGAGGAGGTGGGACTGGTCGCTCGGCTTGTCGTTGACAACAAGCAACAACGATCGCTCGGATTGTAACCATTTTAAAAGTGGTAGCTCGCAAACACGAATCACACGATTTAGGATCTCTATACGTGCGTAGGTTGCACGTTTATCGTTTATACGTCGACTCCACGCGTGGCACTTGTAAGGGCGCGAGTATTCGCCTTCTGTACGACGAGTTTGCGGCTACCACCTACCGATATCAATCTGGAGAATACATCGGAGTACGCGTACGCACACAAATGGAAGCGCGCGTTTGCGTTACACCCGATCGAAACTTATGCTTACCAGCTCTCGATCGCCGTGTTATTAAAATCGTTGTAAACTCGTCCACGCGCATGTAAATGTAGTCCGCCGTACGTGCATGGTCGGATCGGGGAACACCGACGCGGACTCGAGCGCGTAAATGTAAGCAGGTTCGTACGAAATTGTGTATCGTAAAGTGTAATTGTAAAATAGCGTACGGACAAGAACGGGAGCGTGATGGAAACACACGGTGGTGGACCTCGCGTGGATTCCATAGCTAGTGGTAGTAGCTCGGCAGAAAAGAGAGAGAGAGAGTCGACGTACGTATATACGTAGCCTCGCATCGACACGCTGCGCTGTATGTACACCCATCGGCATTCGGTGCCCGTGTTATTAAACGTCCGCGTGATCTTTTTCCAACGACTCGCCGCGAGAGGAGGGTCCACCGATCCTGTACTACTCTCCGTATATAATTACGATTTACTTCGCTTCCCGATACGGCAAAATCGTCCGCGTGTCCGAGGGGATACGAAGCTGGACGCGTTCTCGAACTGGCAACGAGATTGCCGAGACCACTCGGATAATCGTCGCCGCATTTTAAACCGTAATATAAACAAACCGCGATCGATTCGCGGCCATCTATTTATCGATAATCGTTAAATTATAATAGTCGGGCCAACTCTCGTATCCGACAACGACGGGAATTCTGGTTCGCGAATAAACCGACGAACAAGCTTGTATCGCGATTATACGCGTTTCAGAAGTTACGGCTGTCGTGGTCGTACCTACGTCGAACCAGGTCATCCCTATCTATTGTCCTGTGTATCGAGAGTCTAAATTGCGATTCGTGCGCGAGCTCAGTGGCGACAGTCACAGTCGGTGAACGGGTTTTTTACCCGCGGTGCCACCGACTCGAGAGGGCTTCGTCACCCCGGTTACACAGGCGTGCCTCCAGGGTGCCCACGTGGGTGTAACGAAGACAAATCGCTCGCGTATTTGATTAATTCGCAGAGATCGCCGGTCCAACCCGGTCCCTCGGAGCCCTCGTGGCCCACGTCTGGCCATCTTCCCTCCAACCCACCCCTCCTTCTTCACCTCCGCCTCATCCTCCTCCTTTTCCCGTTTTCCTTTGCCTCTGATGTTACGTCCTCCTTCCGATCCTTCTCGCGCGTTCGTCTCCAAGCTTCGTGAATCGAATCAAGAGCGAGTTTTTGTTCGAGAGCCCGAGTCAACCGAGGAACCAGTAACCTACTCATTATTGATTCTCGCCCCTTCGTGTCCTCCTGGTCCCCCGACCATCCCCATCTGGAACTCGCGACGGGCCCTAGCATCGTTGCCAGACTCGTAAAATACGTTCCGTGAAAATGCTCAATGATGATCTTAATAGAAAGCTCTAACAGGGAGTCGTATTGCTTGGCTTGATCGCGCTGCATTCGTTCCACAAAACAGGACCCACCTAACAAGACAGAGGCTATCGTATCAAAGATGCGTAGGTATCTCCAATCGGTTCTCGTAATTTTTAATCAACGTAGCACGGACTTCGGTCATTACATCGCTTCTAATCTCTCAATCTGCGGAGTCATAAAGCTCCATTAGCATTGCAAATTTAATCGTCGCCTGAATCGCAGTGGCCGAACGACCAATTTACCATCTACTCGATGGGATACCGAAGATCCGTGCTCGTATCGCAGTGGGTTCTGCTTATTTAAGAATGGTTGCTGACAAAGCAAAATTTCCCGCGTTCGCGATTACGATTTACCTGTCTCGTTTTTAAATCAAGCGCTACGCTACGGTATAGCCGTCCAGTCAATGGTTCACCGATCGGTACGTTCCCGATCCTGGTGTGCGTGTGCGTACGCGTGCGTACACGTGCGCAGTACGTTCAGGATGTACCGATCCCCGGCTAACAGCTCGTACCCGTGCAACACCTCGTACCACAACGTGGCCCCTAGCGTACCCGACAATACGAGCCGGTAGAAACTCGTCGAGAGCTCCCCGATTCAGAACAATCCCGCGTTCACCTCGTATTTACAGTCTGCCCGTGTCCTCAGTCCTCGCCACGAGTTCCGTTTATCTCCTATCCCTTTCCCTATTCGCATCTCTTTCCGTCCTACCCACGCTCCAATGCCGTGTATCTTTACCTCTTCACTTTGGTTCACCACGAGGCAAGGTAACCCCCTCGGATGCCGTGTTCCTTGCGACCGACGTCGTGCCAGCCCTTTTTATCCTATCCTCTCCTCTCCTTCTCCCTGTCTCCTTGTCTCCCTCCGTTTCACCGTTCCCGACTCGCACCCTCTCAATCGCACAAATGGAATTCATTTCTAGTTCCTTGACTCCCGTTCCCGTGCTCCTTTTCTTGTCTCCGTCGATCTCTGTCTGCCGTTCCCGCCCGACGATAATCTGTCTCGCTTCCGCTCGGCTCGTTCTCACGTGCAAGACGAGCCGGGTCGAGCCGTTCTCCGCCCCGCTCCGCCCCAATTCGCTCGGGAGCGCGACGAGGAGAAAAGTTTCAGTCGATCGGACGGACGGTCGCGTAGCCATCGCGCGACCATTTATGTATTTTTCTTCGATAGATCTTTTCTCCGCGGGCGTCGCGATCTCGCCACCCTCGTTTAAACGAGCCGACGATATAAACTCGCGTGGTATTCGCCGCAAAAAAACTTCCCACAATTGATTATCGAACGTACGCGATCGAATCGAGTCCGTGTACACAACACACGGTTGCATTCCCATCCGGAAAAGAACCCATCGGGCAGACGTTAAGCCGCGTTAATAAACGACGACGTCACGGCATACGACCGAGACTGCATCCACTCGTTCCACTCGTTCCGTACGCTCCCGACCGATCGCGTGCGGAATAGTACTTGGGCAAAGTTAGAGAAGCCGTTCTGCGTGGCCTCTAGTAGTTAGCTCGGGTCCTCCCTATACGCTCGCTTTCTTGCCGACTAATTTTCTCGTGGCCGTTACGCGAACATTCGCGTGCAACGAAACGCCCGGCTGCGGGATTTTTATTTAATACCGAATAGTTTTATTGAATATCGATCGGCGGGAATGCCTTTAAGAATACTCTCCGGGCTGTTCACGTGCAAGTATCGCGCGACTCTCGGTACACGGCAAAAACTGGGAGAGCACGGAGCAAAACGCGAGGCAAGA